GTGTGTGTGTGTGTGTGTGTGTGTGTCCTTCACATGACTGGAGTTTAAACCTAATGTCAGTAATGTGCACCTTCGCAGGTCTTTCTAAAATGATAAAATAATCATATGATTATAAAGCAGATATTCTCACTGGTCTCTATCCTATCTATATCTAATCATATTGTATTTCTTTATTTCTAAACAAGTTAAATATTCTTATATTTTTGCTCTCTGTAAAGTCTCTGTTGCTCTGAAAGCTCCCACACAGAGATACAGCATCAGTTGCACAGGACAGTGAGAATGAAGCATATGTTCTCGCTCTCCAGTTTTATCTCTTGTCACTGTGGTTTATTTGATGTCTCCCACTGTGGAAAATCCAAAGCTGACTCAAATACTTCACCTGGCATTTCAAAGTGCTTAAGAAAGTCTCAGTAATAGTTTGAAATTAAATGTACACTTTGATTTTCACCGAATGGCCTTATTATGTGTCATCACTGTGTATATTTGTCCAAAGTAAGTTTTGCTCAGTTTATTGTTGATTGCAGCATAACGTGCTTTAATGCAATAGACTATTTTAGAAAGTGTTGCATGAATTATGCAACATTAGATCTTCAGGGACTTCATTAGTAATATATCTACATAATTTACAAGACAGTTCATAGACACGTTCATTGGAAAAAACATCTGACTCTTTTAGTGTAACAAATTGTGCTTGATGATATGTCCTCAGCTAAACTTAGATGGGTTGATTGATTTAGCCTCAATCACAATATTAACATTTCCCTGCTATGTCACTGTAAAGTGTCGCCCGTCTGTCTGTTCTCACTCTCCTCTCCTCCTCCTCAGGGACGCTGCACACGTGAGAACTGTAAATACCTGCACCCACCTCCACACCTGAAAACCCAGCTGGAGATTAACGGGAGGAACAACCTGATCCAGCAGAAGGCTGCGGCTGCCATGTTGGCTCAACAGATGCAGTTTATGCTGCCTGGAACACAGCTGCAGCCCATAGTGAGCAGACCACAGCAGAACTTTTTTAACAAATGCAAATGCACAGTCATGCCTGCAGGTAGAACTTCCTGGCAGGATTTTTTCACAATTTCTCTCTTTCTACAAAAAAAGAGAAGAGAAATTTCCGAGTTCCTTGCTTTGACTTTCTGGTCATGTACAGTGAGAATTATGAAAATCGTTATAATCTCAGTAATATAATAACTGGATATTTTCAAGTGAAGTTATCATGCAAAATGATAATTTGGTTACCGCCACATTGTATTTAATTTAAGGGTTGTTTTTTTTTTAAATTTTCATCAAAATTATTTTGTATGGTTATGGTTTGATCTTGTTTAGCCATCTATGACTTCTTCAGGAAATAGTCAATCATCTTTTTTTTGTGTTGAATTGCTTCAAAGAGTATTCACAGTACCTGAATACTTCTCAGTACTATAAAAAAAAACTTAGTACTGGTTGTGTTACCAACAAATCTCTTCAGCTTTTACTAGTTTTACTGTAAACTCTGTTGTAACTTGTTGTTTAGTCTCTCTTGTCTCAGCTGTTCTCTCTCTCCCTCAGACCACATTCTCGATGACGCCCTCCCTGGCAACAAGTCCCAGTATGGCGTTCAGTCCCTATCTGAGCCACATGGGCCCAGGCATGGGCTTAATGCCTGAACTGCTGCCCAGTACTCCCCTCCTGGTCCCTGGGAGTCCCACAGGCCTGGCAGCCATGGGCAACGGCACCTCTGCACAAAAACATGTGCGCACAGACAAGCTGGAGGTATGTAGCCTGTGTGCAGTTGTTGTGTTTCTATGTTTGGCCGAAGTATGATGAAAAGTAAATGTTGACCCATGCTCCCTCTGGACCCTGCCAGGTTTGTCGGGAATTTCAGCGTGGTAACTGCACGCGGGGCGAGAGCGACTGCCGCTACGCTCACCCCCTGGAGGCCGGCATGGTGGACTGCAGCGAGAACTCAGTCATCGTTTGCATGGACTACATCAAGGGCCGCTGCAGCCGAGACAAGTGCAAGTACTTCCACCCGCCTGCTCACCTGCAGGCCAGGATCAAGGCTGCACAGCACCAGGCCAGTCAGAACACAATCACCAACACAGGCTTGGTGAGTCAGTCTAAGCAATGAGACACAGACAAACTCTGAGAACTGATTCTCTTTACACCAACAGTAAATGTTAACTGAGGGGGGAACGTTTTATCAACAGTTTTTGATAAATGGAAAACTTCAACATAAAACTCAGTTGTAAATAAATGCTGTCTCAAACAATACAAGTCAATATCTTCAGCAAAACACCAGAGGACTTTCTCACTCTGCATTTGAACATTATTTACTGATGCATTGAATGATCAGAGTGTTGAAATTTGATCATGTATAATCAGGATTATGTTTTTCATGCATGTCTGCAGCTGTTGTTGCGAGATTTACATTGTGAGCAGCTGTAACATCATCAGGTCGATCTAATGCAGGAAAACAAGAAGCTACTCTACAAAATTAAACTAAAATACAAATTCAATGTAGTAACAGAAATTAAAACAAAATATGTTCAAGTTTTTAATAATTGTATAATTTGTGGTTTGGCTGTTAAATGCAGAACTATCACTGTTAGTTCTGTTCTGTGTGGTCACGAGGGCTGTCAACAAATATTACAAATGTAATTATATAATTTGATTGGAAGGTAATAACAGTAATTTGTGAAAATTAATATTTGATTCTGAGAAAGAAAAAAACCCATCATGAGATCTTGGTTAAAAGACGGTAAAGTTGTTAAATCTTATAAGTTATACACAAAATTAATAAGTAGGAATTAGTCAATTAGCCAATTCAGCACATCCAGGTTACATCTCAAAAATATTGAGCAAAAATGTATATTTAAATGGTTTAATGGTTTTAGGACGAATAGTTTAACATTAGTTTTCAGTCACCAGCCGTCCAACTTTCGTCCAACATATTTGAGGTAAATCAAGTTGTGTAATGAAAAACATCTTCGAGCATCAGCCTGACATCACATCCTACTATTTAATACTGTTTGTTAACAGGGTTTTTTCCACATATACATGTTATATTTATGTTACTTGCATGTGTCAAAGGTCTGGTCTTGTCGTCCACTGCAGTGTGATGTTTCAGCACTGGGCCCATTAGAGAATGAAATCATAGTAATCCCATTTTCCTCCTGGCCTGACCTCTGCGCTTTCCCACATCACTTTACTGCGTCTTAGATGCTGCAGTGTCCTCTTGTGGTAGTAAATAGAAATTATCTGTGTCAACTGGATGTTGAGTCTAAAGGATACTTGGAGATTCGACTGGGTATTAACCCTGACATCACACCAGATCATTTTACTTTGGAAAGTTTTAAATCAGTGTAAAGTTTTGTAGCCATCAGATGCTATTCCTTATGCAAGATGGGAAGGTTTGGCTTCCCTTGAACATAGTTCTTGATTGTTATTTAATTTTGTTCAAGGCTGAATCTCTTTTCTGTTCCTTCCTCTGGTTCTCCTTCCCCTGCCCAGGCTCTGCCGCCAGGGGTCATGCAGCAGTTACCAAAGAGGCAGATTGTAGAGAAGAGCAACGGAACTGCTTCTGCTGTCTTCAACCCCAGCATGTTCCACTACCAGCAGGCCCTGGCTAACATGCAGCTGCAGCAACCAGCCTTTATCCCCACTGGTGAGTCTCCACACACATCAGCATCCATCCAGTGTGAGTGTACAGAGGAGGTAAACCCTTATGGACTCCTCATACTTGACTTAAAAACCTAATGAACCAATAAACACAGGTTTTTATGTTAAACAACTGGGAAGCCTGTAAAAGTTTCTTTATCGTAAAACATGCTCAACTTTACCTCTTCTATCATGACATGCTTCTCTTGCTGCTTCTGTCTGTTGTGCAGCTTGCATTCGATTCACTCTGTAAACATATGATGAGAGAGGTTGAGGCTGTAAACAAAGTTTACTACAAAGAAAATATGTTACAGTAATCACTACGAACATGGTGGGCACATGTATTGCAGGATGTAAGTAGCTGCTATCTGCAATACAAAAGAAGATACAACAGAACATGATAGACTAAACAAGCCTGACTGTTTCTAACCAAGTCCTTTGACACAATTTTGACTGTTGAATCTTTTCTATGTGTTTGTGTATTAGACCGGAAGATATGTTGTTACTTAACAACAGGAGAGACTTTATTTGATGGAAGACATTATGGCTGGAAATGTATAGTATAATAGGTTTTATTAAATGAAATAAGGGTTGAAACATCCATCTATTAACTGATTTGTCAACTGACCGAGAATGAACTGCCAACCACTTAGTTGTTTAACTTGTTTATCAAGTACAATGTTTTCTGGTTCTAGTCTCTCAACTGTTAAACATTTGTTTTATTTGCTTGTGTGATATAATTGTGACTTGAACATCCGCATTTAGAAGTGTGGTCAGAAATTGTGTGCAATGTAAAAGTGATGAAATATTGTTTCACTATTCTGAACTGTCATAGTTTAAACAAATAATCAATTCATTTAAAAACCCTGCATCAGACAATGAAAATAATAGAATGCAGTCCCTAATGAAACTGTTACACACTGGGCAGTGAAAATGATCTTAGAGATACATAAACCGTGATTATAAAATTGTTTTTCAAAGGCATTTTGTTATTATACATGTGATGGGATAATGACGGGACATTAGTGAGTATAAACACTGAACAAACATTTTTCATTTTATGGGGGCTGTAAAGAAACAGTGGTTTCTCAGTGAAAGGCTTGAAGCCTGTCAAACATGAATTATTGATATTCCATGTACTGAAACAGCTCCTCAGCCAGAACACCCACGCACTTTGTGTTGTGTTCTGAAGAGAGGATATACTGAATACACAGGCTAATTTACTATACACAAGTTTTAGACTTTTGTCTCTTGAAGATACCTCTTTATACACTCTACTAGTACTAACGAGAGCTTCAGCGTCATGTCTCTGCATCAGCTTAAAGCCGTTGACTTTTGTGCTGTTATCAACAACTTGATTTTGTGTCTGTGTGCGTTGGCACACTCGTATCCACTAACTGCTGCAGCCTCAGTGTCACATGTGTCGCCTGCAGTGACCTGAACCTGTTGACTTGTCTTTATCTGCTGCAGCCAGCTACAACGCCTTCTTTACTCTTCTTTTCTTTTTGTTTACCTCCCGCTGTTTCTCTTGTCTGCTCTCATTTATTTATTGTATCCAGCACACTCTGTTACTATTCATAATGTAACCAGAGCAACTGGTGTGTCATTGTTCTGTATGGTTAGTGAACAGAAGCATTTACTGAAAGACTAATTGATCGTCTGGAGGACATCATGTTTTGGCCGATTATCTTCAAATCATGTGTATTTTGCAGCACTGTCAACTAAATATATATATTATTATTCAATCCTGTGATAGGATGATGTATCACAGTGAATCATCATGTCATCACATTTTTTGTATGAAATTATTAAATGTTTTTGGGAGATTTGGTAAAAAACCTGGAGAGGAACATGGTGAGTGAAGTTAAACAAACTCTGAAGTCACAGTCAGACACATTTTCAAACAATAAGCCCACCAGGGTGCCCCACGAGTACAGATAATGTTTTGAAATCTCTATCTCATGTAGTGGAATAATGTCAAAATGATTTCACACACAAAATGTTGTGTTTTGCTACAGAAAAAAAAAGTGAAGCTCAGAAAATGACAGTAGGAACACGGATTATATTCAAATGCTGCAGTTGTTTATTTTCTGATAAAAAATTTCCATTTGCTTTCATATCTTAGTCGTTTTGAATGAACCAGAAACTCCAATATTTGACAGAGATGGAAAAGGGTTTCTACAAAATTCTTTAAAAAATAATATTGTGAATGTTGGACTTTTCTAAATGGGAAAATATGACATACAGGTCTTAAATATGTTTTTTTGTCTTTAGAGAAATGTGTTGGTGGCATGCATAGATTGTAAAGTCTCTTCATGTTGTAGTTCTCTCCTAATGATACAGATATTAACACACTGTATTAAAACTACAAATGAGACCAACATGACATCTGAAGTACAAGTCTACAAACAGCCCAGTCAGAATTCATCTGCCTTCCTCTTTCTGACAAAACCTGGCATTTGGAGAGTTATTCCACCTGGCTACTTCACTTTATCTTCAATTATGGTGAAGTGTAAATAATTCTGGGACTCCCAATATTCCTTTGTATCCGCTGTACTAGAGATAGGTCTTACATTTTATTCATTATTGTCAGAAACCCTGGATGCAGAGTCATGGTGAATAAGTGCTGTCATGAATTATTTCTCTCTAACGAGCACCAATTAGCTGTGTGTTGGTTTGCACACCATCCTGTACAGAGTAGAAACCAGCAGCTACTCTTCTGTTCTGTTCTGTTTTTTAGATTTTCAGACATTGAGCTCAAACCGCTCTGGTCTTGAGATTTGTCAATGTTGAGATACGTTCTCGCCTTTTTGAGAACAGATTATTGTGTCAGCTGCTAAAGACCGTATGATAGACGTTCAGACTGTTTCATTGCATCATGCGTGTATCATCATGTCTTCCTTTCTGCAGTCACATTATGAAGCTGAAGCACTTCATGAATTCATTTCAACTCCGTGCATGTTTGTGCGACGTGTACGTGTGCCTACATGCGTGTGTGTGTGTGCAGGTGTGGCCGCCTGCTCAGGTAGTGGCTCAGGGAAGCAGGACAAGGTCCAAGCAGTCGTCAGTCTTGCTATAAGCCTTCCTCCTGTCTCTTGTAGGACTTATGAAAACCCCGGCCCCGCTGGCAGCGGAGAGCCGCTGGGAAAGGAGAGAGTGGAGCAGCTGCAGGCAAATCCCCAGCCGCTTCCTGTCAGTACCTGGACTGAGTGGTGAGGGGACCCCCGATAGGTTATCCATGTTCAGATAACACCTGTACCAACCCCCTTTAACTCCCAGAGACTGAGCCAAACAGGTCCTGACCGAGCTGAGTGTAGGGTCGTGTTTCTTAGTTTGATAATAAAATATCATAAAAATAAAACTACATATTGGATAATTTATTAAATGTACATGTTTTGTCAGTACAATCCGTAATAATTACAGTATGTGTGAACCTGAATGGGCCACTCATCTGTGTTAGTGTAGTGTTCAAGTTTTGATGATTATATGATGATTATATATTATACTGAAATAGTCAAGATCTAATAGAATCAGTTATCTACCCCTGTACACACATAGAGAAGGAGGCTACAGTTTCATATGTGGCAGCACTGATCTTAGTTTCAGTCACTAAACTTGTCCTTAGGTGTGTATCTGAGTGTGTGTGTGTGAGCACTTCCCCTTGTGCACTTCATGAATTTGTGTTCCGCATCAGTAAAGCATTTACCACTGCTGCATGCGAAGACTCCTAGACCTAAAGGGTTTAGTCCTCCAGTGATCTTCCATATTGGGTGACTCAGATTAAAATGGTCAAAATTGAAGCAGTCAAGGCAGAAATATCCTGACTCTTGCTCCCATTTGTAGGTTTAACTCCAAAAAAGACAAGACCCTACATTTCCCATAAAGCAATTAAAAGCATCGGCCAATTAGATCCTTCATTTGGGTAGCTGGACACATCTAAAGACTGTGCACTGCCTGTTTTCGAAACGCACTTCAACTACAAGAAATACATGACATAAGTTTGCACCTGACCACTCAAAGATACTGCAAATGTAAGTGATGAGAAGGACGTATTGTCTTTGAGCCGGGACCATGTCAGTGGTTATTTTCTCAGACTTGACAAAGTCAGATAGTCATTAAAGATGCTGATAGAAAACAGATCACCTAATGTACAGTTTCTTATATTGCAGTCAATGTATTGGAACTGTGTTTGTCCACAGCTCCTGCGCCACATGTCGTGTATGAGTTCAATGCTTAGACTGTAAATAAAGATGGATGACGCATTTCCACTTTTTCCGATTAACCAGAAACACACACCTGCCGTCAGGTCAGAGTCAGTGCAGGAGAGATCTGGGATGAAACCGTGTTAGTGAGGTCCCACGTTCTCGACCTATCACGTGTCAGTGTCGGCTGTCAGTCATTACGTTTCACTTCGTTAATTAACAAATGAAAAACCAAACTTAACAGAAAATGAACACTTGGACAATGTGATAAAAATGAGCTAAAATGACTAAAGATGTACTTTTTTAGTTCCATGTTCCATCCACTAACTAATTTGTGTTAGCTATACTGCAGCCAGCCACCAGAGGGCGATCAGGACACTTCAGTTTTTCGGATACCTTCATGTCATCCATTTTTATAAACAGTCTATGATCTGAATGCAAAGTGAAGGGGACATTTATCTTGCAAAGCCAGTCACTAAATCTGACACAATTACAAACCAATTTTATCTGCAGATTTCAACCAATATCATACGAGTATCCGCTAAAGAAGAGATAAGCTTTGGTTTTGTTCTCGTGCGGATCGTTTGCTCCCTCCATGCACATGCTCCGTCCATTCAATACAATGATCAGATCCTCCCGTCTGATTAGATTGTATGACTGTGTATTGCCTTGTTTGTTTAAAAACCATTTGTTAGTGAACAGTGTTTTTTTATCCTTTATTTTGTAACTGGTTGGCTAATTAAATGTGTAATTTTCTTTGTCTCTCATTTTGTTTGCATGTGTCTTGATACTTGTTCAAATTCATCCTGGCAATATCACTTGACTTCTGCCATGACTTTTGATCCGACACATTTTGCCATGGTAACCATATCATTCCTGTCCCCCCTCCCTCCCTCCCGCCCACATCCTCGTCCTTTGTCTTTCGTCTGACTCGCCTGAATAAAAGTTCCCATGATGCACGGTGCCACCACCTCCAATGTTTCGTCGGCCTCGACCCCAGTCACCAATGTTCCTTTCGCTGAATCTGCCGCCTCAAATCAGGTTTGCTCTTTTATTTCAGTTCTCTTTTCTTTTAGCTTCGCAGGCTCTTGAGTATTTTTCCGTCAGATTAAAGAAACTGCTGCGTGTAGAGTCAAATATGTCCACACTTCATCTGTCGTCACCTTTGAGTCTGTTGTGAGCAAATGAGAACAGAATTTCCGAGGAATCCTGAAATATAAACCTTTTTTCATCTCAGTGTCGTAGTTTGTCATTGAACCATATCATTACTCACTGTCTGTCCCAATATATGGACAAACATTATAAAGTGTGTCAAGTGGCAGCACTACTCTGACTGAAATACTTTACAAAAATTGTCCCATAAATATGCATTGAAATATTTTGTTCAGTATTTCGAAAAACTGAAAAAAACAACTATATGCAGCTTTTATTCACGTCATCGCAGCTTAGAAACAATAATCTGACAGACGAGCCTCTTAGCTTTATTTTGTGAAATGGTAAAGGAAGCATTGGGATCGATTATTTGTGGAGCAGAAAGAACGTGTGCAAAACCAGCCACCAAAATGTAATTCAGGCTAAATTAAGTTATTTATTAGATGAAATACAATTTTAACAGAAGCTTTTAAAAGAGTGAAAGTTTTTTTATGCTGTAATTTTCAGTGATAGGTAACATTGTCCTTATGACATTGTATTTACATTATATCTTTTGCATGGACCATTGTGATGTTGAAACTATATATTTCCTAGAATTTACAATGTTAATATTTAGTTTTACTAATATACTCAAATTCAAATACAGTTCATCTTTCCACAGGTTGGCCCTTTACAGAGCTTTTAACCTTTTTAAAGATGAAATAAAAGAACACATTCAAAATATGATTGAGAACCACAGGAAATAGATCAGGATTTTTATTACAACCCCTGATCCAATTTCAGTGCACATTGTTTTTTTTCTGTTCGATTGAGGTCTTGATGTTTTCCTCTCTGAATAAAGAAAAAATCATCATCATCATCATCATAATAATAATAATGTCACATTATTCTCTAGATGATACAAAATAGCACAAAATGTTTTCTGGCTGGCTTCTTCAGTCGACCAGCGATCCACTAAAACATCCTCAGTACTAACTTGACAGTTTGCTTTGGCCTTAATATTAATCACAAATTTTGGCTGAAAATGAAAATACTGGCTTTACATGATAAATTTGTTCACACTAACTTTAGCGTACAGAATAATCTCCTGACGGTCATGTAAAGATGTTTGTGTCCCTCCCTGCCCTCTCTCTCTCTCTCTTTCTCTCTCTCTCTCTCTTCCAGTAGAAACCTCAGAGCTTCTGACCTCTGATCCAGTGGAGCTCCAGTGTGTTCCCATGGAAACCCATTTCTGTCCCGTCCCCAAACTGCTGATGACAGCTCCAGTGGCGCTAAACTCAGTAAGCCTTTCCCGAAACACCAATTAAAGTCCCTGAAACATGCGCAGTACCGGGGCGGCCATCTTTCTGAATGCAGCGAACACGTGCCTCACCCACACTGCACACGACTGAGTGGCGATGTGACACTTCTGTTCTGACAGTAGGAAAGCTGCGATGGTTCGCGCAATACAAGCCCGGACATACTGCTGTTGCTTTAAAGCAGCCACCCTGATGCATACTGACTTGACCAGGCAGAGCAATATAGCTCCCTCGTTCCTACAGCCATACATGCCCACACCTTAAACGTGCAGCAGACATATGCACGCAAACACACACACACACATACACTTGTAAGACTAAAAAGCCCTTTATGGGTTGAAGCCATGACATGTGGCGACCCAACACATTTGACTGTTCCAAAGTATGAGACTCTGAAAAGATGATTCTGGAGATTCAGACCGTTCAAGCATCTCATTGGTCTGCATCCAATACAGTTTGTCAAAAAGAAGGAGTGTTTCATGTCATGTCATGTTTACGTTTCAAGGCTACAAATGTGACACTGGTGTTGTGCCATGTAAAGCGTTCACTTTGTTCTCATGGGCTCCTGCCTGAAGTCAGTGAGTTGTTGTTCATTTGTTTGTGCCTTTGGTTTTTATCAGCTCAGCTGCAGAGGAGACGTAGTTTCCCACAATATACACTGAAGTACACAAATACACTGAAAGATGTTATTATTGCCAATCAAAGGCCAAATTTGTTGTTACGACAAAATCTGTATCGAACTATAGTTCCTCTTAATTCCTCCAGTAATTACAGTGATCACCACTTTAAATTGTTTTATAAATATTGAGTATGATTTGGATCAGCGTTTCAAAGTCAGTATCTGGTACTTACTGGATAATGGCAGCAATGTTACTTTTCTTATTTCTTCCTTTTAATGAAAAGTCCTTAAAAAAACTATAAATGACATAAAATTGGGATATAATCACTTGTGTACTGTCGGGGCTGTGTTGAGAGACTTTTCAGAATGTGGCTCTTCATTTCTGGATCTAAGACACAAACTGCCTTAAAGCAGCTGAGGTGATGTTTCGCTATGTGGAAGCCTGTCTCGGTTTAACTCTGAAAGTTTCACATCAGACAGCTCAACTCACTAATGCTCTTGAATTTGAGTGAATTATCTGGACTCATGACTCGGTCAGTGATTGTGTTGTGTCTGTAATTGTCTAAAGATTAAAATAAGGTTTGCTTGTCCTGTTTTCACCGTGAGTTCACATCCAAACATGGTGTAAAAAAAACTACTGTTAAAACTGCGAAAAATCCGGATTCCCTGAAATTTAAAACAAAGTTATATTTATGAGGGTCAGATCTGAGATTACAGACGTTTTAATTGGTACTTCTTAAACTTTTGAACCTGATGTCAGAGAAGGAAGCTGGATTTGTTTCCTGATGTTGTGCCTAGTCTGTGTGCCAAGTGGTGGTATATGCAAGGAGCTGTCCCCATTCAATGCAATACCTGAATAACTCCTCCTAATAAACGTCTCCCTCGTCACTGCAGATATGTATTTTAAACAGGCAGTTTGTTTAATGTAAGTGTCACCTCTCATGTGGCTTTTGGATCGAATGAGCGGCACAAGATTTTTATGTTTCACGGCTCTTCAGGGAGAAAGCTTAGAACTTGAAAATATCCTGTCTGACTTTAAATTGTGTCGTCTTTTCTACTGATGTGTCCTGTTCGTCTTAAGTCGCCCGACTCTAAACATCACAGCGAAGGTTGTTGTAACCAGGACTGAGTTGTGGAGAAGTTAGAAGATGGAGGAATGAAAAGGAAATCACCCCTTTGACGTCCGATGATAAAAAAGATATTTACAAACCAGTTGGATTTCTGGTTTGTAAATGTCTGTGAGGAATTGCTCTGACGGCATTTGTGAAATTTAATGTAACGGCTTCGGGAACTGGGCTGAAATAACTTTTGTCCAAATTCAAACGTGCCTCTTAAAGTCTCCTCAAACCACTGCTGTCAATACACTGTAAGAACAGACCAGTGCTCAAAGATAGATGTGTTATTTGGTACATTATTATTACGGTGAATCATATCTGTACTAGCTTCTCCTCTTAGACAGCTGTGCTGTCCTATTGTTAATGTAAAGTAAATAAATCAGTGTATCGTGTGCATTGTTAAGTGTGTTGAGACAATGAATCGCAGAATTGGTTTGTTGTAAATGCTGCAGATAATACAACATTTCCCACTGAACATCATTAATTTAAAATAACGTCATTGTGTCGTGAATGTATCTAAAGCAAAAACTATTCATGCTCGCAGGCATGTTGAAATGTAATGATTCACTATATATCGGCTATTTCTTAGGTCACAAAGGTACCACGCTGATGGTGTGTAAAGACATATAAAGTATGTGTATTGTTCTATAGATTTATATTTAATGTCAGTGGGTGCTGTGACTACTTTTAGAAATATCTTTCACTCTCAGAGAAGGTAGAGCTGAATTGTACTTTTTGAAGTACAAGTGTAAACCATACAGGTACATTACAGTACCATTTAAGTCTAGCTAGTCAGTTTTTGTACCCCAACTGTGGAAAATACCCAAAGTGCCCAAAATGCACCAATTAACAATGATGTAATCATTGGGCAAATTTGAGACAATTAGCATGTCTGTTTTTTTTCCTGCAGTATTTTGACCCTTTCTCGTGGTTTGGATCGGACAGTTCTCCTCTGTGCTGTGGCCCTTGTGCTGCGACCCTTCTTTAGTGAACTCAAACTCTTGGTTTTGGGAGACTGCATTAATAAGGAAGTGTAGACAGACCAGCCAGTGGGAGATGCAAGTGCAGCAACAGGTGACGTAATCATTCACTGGCTTCACATCCGTGTCACTTATGTTCAATGAGGCAAGTTAGAACCCTTAATAATAATAATATCCCTTAAAAGAACAGCACACTTACATACTGATCTCATTTTTATGAGTTAAATATACAGTTGATTAGCTTAGCACAAAAACTGGAGGCAGGGGGAAACAACTAGGTTGGAATTGTTGCATCTTTCGTTCATTGCTTAAAATTGTGTTCTTTAGCAATTTCTTGACAAACAACAAAGCGACAATCTGGAATCTTGTTGTTGCAGTAAAGTTGCCAGGCAACCCACACAACAGCCAGGTACGGTGACATTCTGGAATCTCTGGAAAACATCAATACGAAGAATTGTTATAAAATCAAACACTCTCTGGATACCATGTCATTTTAACAGTATTCCTAATGGCTTCAAACCCAGTCTGACATTTCTGTTAAAGACTTGCTTGTTATTCATTGACCAAAATTCTACATCGTTGCAGATCAAATGTAAAATGTAAAAAATCTCTGCAATGAACTAAAGCATTGTTTTCCCTTGTCTCCAGTCTTTACGGTTCAAACTTCAAATTACCAAACAGACATGAGAGTGATGTTAATCTACTCATCTACTTCTACAAAAAGAAGGTGAATATGTGTATTTTCAAAAAAAAAAGAAAAGGAAAAAAAGAAAAGCTAAAGTATTTATTTAAACATTTAGCACATGTGGATCACATCCCACCGGACAACAGGTGTCACATGAAGAGTGATAGAACATTTCAGTAATTAATGACTAATTGTGCAATAAAAATGGAAGTTATAAATTGCATTCTCAAAGAGATTTTAAATTCCATTATTAAGTGTTGAATTGAATAATGTATTTTTTAAGTCGTATCATGTTATTGACTGTGTTATATGTTCTCATTTGATCCACTGATTGATGGACACACATTTCATTTGTGGATTATTTTTCATAATTCCTCTTTTTAATTCCACTTACAATAATTAGATTATAATGAATTGACTAACAAAGACATTTTATGATTGCATATTTTATTGCACAATTGATGTTTTATTAGTTTTTCTGTGACACATGTTGTCCTCCATATAAAAACAGTATCTAGCCTGTTATATGTCTGGTACCATACATCTGTAAAATACCTTTTGTCACAGACATATACTGTATTCTCTTTTAACTCTGTATTTGAGGGTTTAGCAGCTAATTTTATTGAAAAACTTTCTCTCCTTTTAATGAAATTGATGATTAGAATGTCTAAAAAAGTTCTCTCAATCTTTCCGCTAGGATAGTTTAGATTTGTCCAGCCAAGAAAGCCCCTCCCTCTATAGCCTTTATCTCATCCCCCCTTCACATAATTTTGCCTTGACTGAAAAAAATCAGAATACTTGATGAATAAATTTTGACCCTTGAGGGACTCGAACTTAAAGTACATTTAGACGTATGTATTGATGCACAAGAGCGTCTTAGTTAGTGGATTGCAGTGTGGCATGAGAAAAATTTTACTTCTTTCCTTTTCTTATTCTCATGTACATGATTTTCTCAAATGCGAAATGCTCTGATCACTGCGTGCATTGACCAGAACCTTTAGCATGTGGACAATTAATTCAACGTACTTTTGTTTCCTAGGGCACAAACAAAGGGCCTTATTTCTTGATCACTGTATAAAGATATGATAGCTGTGTATCAAAATGACTTGTATTAATGGTAAGTTAAGCTTAAAACAAAAACACAGCATGAAATGAAAAAAAACTCATTTATACATAGTTAATAGTTTGTGTAGACCAACAAGAAAAAAGATACAATATGAAAATCATTTGTATACAATGATGGAGTCATTGTAAATGGTAATAGTTGTGGTTGCTATGGCAACAAAATGACAACATGGCTACCTTTCTATTATCCTAATTGTGAATTTTTTCACATAAATTGAAATAACGTACACCACTAACTTATTCAAGAAGGGAATGTCTAATTCGTTTGTCTTGTTATTGCGACGTGATGAAATATTTTATATGGAAATCTTCGTAATATCCAAAGGTCCTTAGGGGAGATCAGGTGTTTATTTTGTTGTATTAATTTGACCTTAATTGTTTTCTCTTTTTTGTTGTTCTTGTACATGGTGTTTTTGAGAAATAAGAATGGACTTAAACACCTTTCTGTCAGGGAGGTGAAGAGGCTTTTGGACTAAGTGAAAGATCTTCACCTTTTTCTGTAAAATCAAACTAATCGATTCACTTCCTGCCTGCAGCGTGGACCACTCTCCTCTCTGTGTGGAGGTTTGAGGTTTTATCGGTGAGTTCTGTTTCAGTTTTGTCCCAGAACGTGGTCCAGAAGTCTCTTCCTGCCCAGCTGTGCTGGGTGATGACGATCCTTACTGAGGTGTATCTGAATGTGTGATGTTCACCTTGTTTGCACTTATGTACATAACTATGTCAAAAATACTCAAAATTTATTTTGAATAAATATAGAGAAAAGAGTTGATTAAAAAAAATCTAATCAGTGTATTGTTAATGACATGTCTATCATTTTATTACAGTATGAAAAGATCGCTTTGAGGGATCTGCCCTTTGTTTGTATGTTTGCTGGAGCCCTGTTCTTATCCACGTGTGACGTTGCCTCGCTCTAAACCATGACTGGGCTGCGGTTTTAAAAAGCTTTTTCAGTTTGTTTCTGGTTCAAACCTGACATCCAACAATAGAGATGGATTAGAAGAAATAGTCCCTCTGGAATAATTACAACAAACTAATACTAACACCTGGTTGTTACATGCTCATCATGATTACACAAATGCAGGCGCTTTCCTCTAAAGCAGCAAAATAAAGCACAGGGTAGTTTCACCTGAAAGCAGCTGGGAAACAAGAGGAGCAGATATGAGCTCAGACTCTAGAGAGAGATGAACATGAGATGTGTTTTAAATCCACTTTCATTTCTGTCCTTTTGTGAAATGGGTTATTGTTTTCCCCCTTGTTGTCATTTTCCAAAACCACAATAAATCTGAATTCTCCTGCGGATTTACGTCAGAATCGCAAACAACCTGTTTTTGCGATGTTATTCTTGGAGCAGCGAGCGTTCTTGCGTAACTCTGTTCCTGCAGATTTAGACATTCACTCCTCTTCAATTGCTCTCAAAGCCAGCGATTTTGTTGCCATGGCACTTGTCCTAGCGGTGGACTGACTGAGTCATCCTGGTGAATCGGTTCACAGCCCCTCGGACTGCTGTTGAATATTGACTTTTAAGTGTGTGTTCACAGAGACGGCTCTCTGTACGACGTGTACCCAAACCTCACCAAAGGTTCTCTGCTGTGACTAACCAGCAGCCATCATCACTGCAGTGCCAACGTACAGTATGGGGGAGAAGTATATGCGGAGTGGTCTTGACATACTGTGGGTTTCCAGTCACCAATAAGGGAATACGATTGTGATTTTATTTTAAAATGTATTTATTGTTATTTCAATGGTTCAGTTGTAATTGTGCCTTTATTGTGCAAACTGTAGTTTTCCTTTTATGTTTGAATTGACTTGAAACATCACGTGTTGACTGTGTGTAAAACTTTATTTGTAATCTGTTGGTGAGTCGCAGTCACATTGGGTACAGTTGCAGACTGAATGGCAACCCCTGGAAGGTGAAGAGGGCCAAAGACTGTTCAGGACTAAGCCATATGAAAAACTCTCTCTGACACTCTAGGACAGACTTGAAGGTGACGGCTGTTTCTATCGCTTCTCTCTTCTTTTTTCTTTTTTTTGCTTGTGGTGCTTGTATGTGCTACTGTGCTACATGCTAATTTGATTTGCAGTGTATCGCTATTAAGAGTAAGTTACTGTGCCTATGATGAGTTCTGCGATTTCTGTTTGACCTTTAATAAAAACATAATTGTGATCCTCCCTCAGTGTGTTGTTGTTTATTATCTTCATGTGTCACCTTTAAAGAGACATCGAACTTTTACCTTTGTGTAACTTGATATTATTTATGAACGATGTTTAGATTGACCGTTGAAGTTTAATAAACACATGTTATAATACACTGTCCATGTATTATCAGTTAAGATAATAGTTTAGATTATGGCCTTTACAAATCCCGCCACACAAACAAAATGTTTTTATTTGTCAAAAATAATGTATGTATTTGGGAATACTTATATATAATTATTACATATAAATGTACATTTTAAGAGTAATTGGGTTGTAAAACACCTTTCAGATCCTCAAGACCGGGGCACAGTACTGTGATAATTTTGCATTATTATCATTATGAATACATTATTTGTGTTGGCTTAATAAATTATATGAAAGACTACGGTAATCCCAACTAAGTATAAGGGCCTGAGCATAATGGCTTTCCATCCTTGTCTAAGTCTGCAAATTTTGATTGAGAGCATCTCTCAAAAATCTTCACATCTTACAATAATGTGACTTTTAAGAAGAGACTGGATAGACATTAGGAGGGCCAGCTCGGTCCTGGGATACCCCCTTGACCCAGCGGAGGTGGTGGGACAGAGGAGGATGATGGAGAAGCCGCCTACTCAACCAGTCCCATCCCCTGCAGGACACCATCACAGCACTGGGCAGCTCCCTCAGCAACAGACTGACTGAAGTGAGTGAAGGAGAGGTATCGCAGGTCCTTCCTTCCAGCAGCGGTAAAACCAACTCTGCTCCTAATTGAGCTACACACACTTTGACTGTGGTTAACCTCTCTTAACTCTGCAATATTCATTCTCTCTGTGCCATACAAGGGCTTGAGTGCAATCCATTCACTGCACATATTCTCACAATGCACATATTTTTCTTGCTTTTAATTATTTTTAATTAATTATTATTAATGGAAGAACTAATTAGTACTTACAGATGCCTATTTTTGACTCTTGCTGCTGTAATATTGCAAATGTCTCCATTGTGGGACTAATAAAGATCTTACCTTACCTTATCTTATCTTATCTTACCTTATCTTATCTTACCTTATCTTATCTTACCTTATCTTATCTTACCTTATCTTATCTTACCTTATCTTATCTTACCTTATCTTATCTTACCTTATCTTAACATATCTTAGCCCCTGGCCACTTTGCAGGTTGTCAAAGTAAAGTATAAGAGTTATGATGCTATCAGGAATCTCCACATCATTAAAAAGACATAAATGCAATCAGTACAAGAAGACAGACTCGTACTAATGCTGACCACAGAATAAATGTCTCGGTAAGAATCCCTCAACCAATTCCTTTTAAATAATTTTTAACACAGGAGTATTTATATAGAATATATACAGAGGCTTTTATTCTGATAAACGGTCCCAGCGGATGTCTTGTCCTCGTTAGCGGAAGTCAGGCTGTTAGCTTCAGTGAACCCGCTGCGAGAAGAAGAAGCGTCTCTTTCTGTAATCGAAGCCGCTCAGAGTCCAACACACGCCGGTGCAGCATCGAGCTCCAGCCGATGGACCCTCGGATCATCGCACTGAATCTGCGGGTCGTTCGTCGGTAACGCGCCCGTGTGCTGAGGCGCCGGGCCGGAACCAGAACCAGGCCCTGGACGGACGCACGGACATTACCCAGCGCTGTGCTTTGCGACGCCGGCGGAGTGCTCTGCGTGTGGGGGGCGACATGTTGTCGTTCAGGGACGTGTAATGTGTTTCTTGCTGTCTGTGTCTGGGCAGCAAGTCCCCGGTGGTCGATGCAGAGGCTTGGGCATGGGACAGCGAGCTAGCTCCACCGCTAGCTAACACCGGACGTCAACTTTTACTCGCTAACAGGATGAGCGGCGGAGCCTGGGTGTAGCGGTGCCTGGGTGTAGCGGTGCCTGCAGAGGGCTTATTTCACACCGTGTCACATCTGTCACTTCGCTCGTTCGCTTCTCCAAAGGCCTGATCGATGTGTCCGGGGCGAGTGCAGCCGTGTAGCTAAGTCGTTAGCTGCTAAGTTAGCCTGCCTCCAAATGAAAGAGTACAAAGTTGTCGTGCTGGGCAGCGGCGGCGTCGGCAAGTCCGCGCTGACCGTCCAGTTCGTCACCGGCACCTTCATCGAGAAATACGACCCGACCATCGAGGACTTCTACCGCAAGGAGATCGAGGTGGACTCGTCTCCCTCCGTGCTGGAGATCCTGGACACGGCGGGGACCGAGCAGTTCGCCTCCATGAGAGATCTGTACATAAAGAACGGACAGGGCTTCATCCTGGTCTACAGCCTGGTCAACCAGCAGTCCTTCCAGGTACGAGTGTGTGTGTGTCTGCAGGGTCATTACATATGAACACACACGTGGATACAGTTCACAGATATATATTGAACCTGATGAGTAAGTGTTGATCAGTATCACAATCCACGTTTGATTCTATTTAAAGTCATGGTGAAAAATGCAAAAAGCCAAATACAATGACTCCATCAGGTTGCTACCATCAATTCAAATATTACAGAATTCTGAAATGGAAATATCTTGAGTCTTGTTTTATCCAACCCACCACCATGTTTTGCAATTGTTACAATACATCACAGAACCAATTATTTTCATATTGTACTAACTCAACAATACAATCAATAGTGCTGCATTAATCCTGGATTAACACACTGGATGATGTTGAGCTGTATCCTAAATTAATACCATCATATAGACGGACTTGTACCTGATGCACCTTTGTTTGTAGCTGCAGAGAAGAAAATCCCTCTTAAGTGGAGAGTAAGTCTAAAAGATCAATCAGTGCTTAAATCATCACAGGGCCACAATCATCACTTTGTGAGTTTCCTCTTTGCAAAGCGTTGAAGGAAACAGAAATCAGTTAGTGTGTATATTCACCTTTTTACCTCACTTTTCTACTGTAGACTTTCTGATAAGAAATTGAATGTTTTGTAAAGCTGGTTTTTTTGCCTTTTATTGAAAGCCCAGAGAAACTACACTCTCCCTCTTCATTTTTCAGGACATCAGACCGATGCGGGACCAAATAGTGCGAGTGAAGCGCTTCGAGAAGGTGCCGTTGATCCTGGTTGGGAACAAAGTTGACCTGGAGTCTGAGCGCGAGGTCGCCGGGGCGGACGGACGGGCTCTGGCTCAAGAGTGGGGCTGCCCCTTTATTGAAACTTCCGCTAAGAGCAAGACCATGGTGGACGAGCTGTTCGCAGAGATCGTGCGACAGATGAATTACTCAACGCTGCCGGAGAAGCAGGAACAGTGCTGCACAGCCTGTGTGGTACAGTGAGGCAGAGGTACGAGCAGAACCGTTCACATCCTCTTTCGTAAAGTCAGATTTGGACTAGAGCTGCTTGATGTTGGACAAAACTTTAAAACAGTTAACGTCATCACCAATTCTACCTTTCCTGTGTTTCCTGTTTCTCGCTCACTTTCAGGCTGCGGTCAACAACTTGGGAGGGGGGGTTGTAGCATGACTCACTGGATTAATTTCCCTTACTTGACATTGTGTGTTCTGTGATGTGACGAGTACTTCTAATACTGCGCATGTTCATGTCAGGATGACGATGCTGAAATAATATATTCTGCAGCCCCAATTAATACTTGGACAGCATCGAGGAACTCACAAGCACAGCACAGTTGGCCACTTACTAATTTTACAAAATGTGATAAAATGTCCCTGCAGCGGCTGCGTAGAAATGGTTCACAAGCTGAGGAGAAATGTGACACATGGACGACTGTTGCCTTTCAGTGCCGTGTGAGGGAGAGGATAGATTCGGCTGGAAGTGCGAAAGACGAGTGGGTGGTGCCGCTCCGTGCAAAACCGTTGCTTTGGTTTGTTATCATTAGATTGCAGAAAGTATGCGGCACGAACAACACAACTGTCTGAACCGCTCAGGAAAATAAGCCCAAAGAGCAGAGACTGACGAAGCAGACAGTCCTGCAAGCTCCTCAAAGAGGAAAATGTAACATCCTGAGAGAGAAATTATGTTCAAAACAGGAAGTTCACTTAAGATTCTCTGCGAGGTGTTGCTTGTGGTAACCACTGGCAACACATATGCCACTTTGAGCCATGTTTAAATCTGCTGAATTATTCACTTGGTTTGTATTTTGTCTTTTTTTTTAATTTATAGATACATCATTTGTCTGGATCACCACAAACTTTTTGACGAACCGTGGAACGACCTGACTTTGGCCCTTCTGAAAAAAACTTACCACATCTGGTAAAGTTTCTGCTCATGGTGGTTTCTGACTGCCCGTCACAGAGCATCTGACAGGAAAGACGTCAGCCCTATTTTTGATATCACAACAGTTAGAAGACATTTCTGCTGCAACCTTTATGGCCTTTGCAATGACCCAAGATGGAGTCAGACCGACGGACTTGGCCATCTGTGAAAAAGTTTCTCTCTTTTCCAACATTTTAGTCAGAAGTATCCCAGAAATAATAAGCAAGGGTGTTTGTGAGGTTGCAGCTTCTTTTTAAAGCTGCTTTAATCACTATTATATACTTTATTATTACTTGTATTATGTCTCAAGTTTGGAAGTTGACAAAGTATTTCATAATATTGAAACATTTTGACTTTTAAGCATGCATACTCTGAACAGTTTGCTGCCCAGGTGTACTGCTCGCTTTACTTAAATCTTGTCTGGACTAGTTCTTCTAATGGACACAAACAGCCGTATGTGTAACGAGTCATTTAACTTTGGGAAGCCGGTCACTTTATCCACCGGTCCACTCTGCTGCCCTGTGGTTTTAAATTCACCGTTTTTACTGTCGCCGTAGCCTGAAGCAGCTAAACTCATCTGAAAACATGCATGCTCAAAATTGAAAATGTTCTACTAAATCAATGTGATGTGATGAGAAAGAGCCATTTAGCTGTTTTTAGCCAGAACTCTGTCCGTCTCTCTACAAGGCATGAATCACGTGGACGCAGGTCTTCCATTCTCAGTTTTCTTGAGGAGTCTCTGCAGGAGAATGATTTTGGAACGACCAAAGGAAGCTCCCATTGCATATTTGTGTTTGACTACATGACGTGTGTTGCTTTAAATCCAGGAGACGCTGATTTCTTGTCATTAAATAACTCCTGCTGCAATGTGGTTTGATAAAAGTTCTGGCACAGTAAATCAGATTTAACTTTGTATTTTTCTTTTTCTTACAGTAACCTATTTATTAAAAAGTAACGACATGGGTAGCCAGTTTTAAACTTTAAATTTTTTTTACTAGTTTTTGCTTTTTGTGACTTTCCACAATTTATGGTATATTTGTTTTTCGTCTTTTTATTTTTATTTTAAAGCTGAGAATTTAACAGAGCCTTAAATAATTTCTGTTGCACCCTGGTCTCATGCTTCTTTTTTGTTTCCTCAAAGTTCATTTAACAGCTCTCATTGTCTGGAAATGAACATGCTGGCCTTTCTGCTGTTGTCATGGGACAAAGTTACAGTATTGTCAGTCGCTGACAACGTCGATCTGATCATTTAAGCTGCTGAAACAAATTGAGCCACGTTCAGTTCTGTCATTTCTGTGCCACGCTTCTGTGCAAAGCTGCTGCACTATGCAGTTCTGCTCTGAAGAGTCTTTGGTGGTCACTCTGTAATTAAAATGAAACTTAGAAGTGAAATGACTTGTTGATCAGTGCAAAACATTTGTTTCCTCTTTTTGTTAATCGGTTGTTATTTTATTCTAGCAAAGCAGAACATTTGCTGGTCTCCTCATAGATACAGATCTGATGCTTTTCTCTGTCTTATATGATTATGAACTGAAAGTCTTTTAGGATTCGAGCTCTGAAGGACAAAAAAAGATGTTTAGAGATGTTACTTTGATTTCTGAGAAACCATGAGAGGAATTAGAATTTACCCTTTATTTGCTATATCAGCAAATCAAGGAAAACATTTGCCAATTATTCAGTAATGTAAGTAGTCCTTCCTGCAGCAGCACCAACACAGCCTTGCCTCTGAAAGATTTACAACGTTGTGGTAAGTTAAAGGATAAGTTCTGGTTTTGTTTGGGGGGTTTCTTTCAGCGGTCTTAAAACTACGCTCCTCTGACTGTTCCTTTTTTTCTGTTTCCATAAAGTGTGAGTCAGGAGAAAAGGCAGCTACAGATATAGTTATTACAGTAAAATAATTGCTTCATTTGTTGTTTTAATAATAACCTGAAAAACTAAATTCACCTAAATCATCAACAGGGGACATGGCTGTTTAAACGTGGGTAAATTGCAGAGCATCAAAGTAAAATTTAGTGTAAGAGAGACACTTATCCACTCAAAGTCAATGCTCACATGTCCATATATGGAAACAGTTTTAGTTTGGTGTGATTGTTCTTCCTGTTCATAATGGCTGTAAAGAGATCCCATCAGTGAATTGAATCTAAAGTCTAAATTCCTTTGTCAGAAAAACACAATGACATTGACAGATACAAAGATAAACTGGGGAACTGCTGAAGTTTTAACTACATTTTAGGATCCTCTTTACACTAAGAGGAGGCTGTGATTTCAACCTCCATAACTTACTCATTGATGTACAGCTGCCAGTATTGACAGCAGAACGAGGCAGTGATCAGGAACTCTTTCAGTAAACGAAGACAAATATTGTTTTGAGACATGTTTTAAAAATGTGAACTTATCCTTTAGGCAGTTGTATAAACTGAAGATTTCTAGCGTTTTTTTAAATGTACTTCTTATTGTTACAACCTCCAGTTCAGAAGTTACATTTGTTTTAAACATAACAAAATGTGTGACCGTTCACTGGTTTATCACTGACAGGAAATTATTAGGAGCCAACATAACCACATATGAAGTTAAAACATTTTCTTAAGCTGAAAATAACTCCACACTGTTCACTTCCTCTTTGGGTTTTTCATGTGGCTGAGCACAGTTGTTGGTGTCTGTGCACTTTGCAAGTTTTGTCCTGCAGTTGTCGTGTGTGTGTGTGTGTGTGTGTGTGTGTGTGTGTGTGGACGTGTGTGTGTGTGTGTGTGTGTGTGTGTGTGTGTGTGTGTGTGTACACATCTACATCTTTGTCCACAAAAACACTGCAGACTAGTTTGCTCTCAGCTGCCTGCTGTGTAAGCTTGACAGGACTCATTATCCACTCACCACTAAGCTGATAGAGGGGTGGGTGAAGTGTTTGAGTCCACCCACCCCTCCATCAGCACAGTGGTGAGTAGATAATGAGTGAATTTTCAGTTTTGGGTGAACTATCCCATTGATTCTGCAAGTTACAACCAGACTAAGATCCCACACAGAAGCACGATCAACAACAAGGAACAACGTGTTGTGTTAATGTAATAGCTCAGGAGGATTTCCTGTCTTCCCCAGTGTTGACTGCTCACACTGCTCCACATGTGTTGTGTGTTCAGCAGCAGTGAAAAAACTGGTGTTCAGCCTGTGTGTATAAAATCAGTTACACCTCCGGGCCTGCAGGTGGCAGCAGGTGTATTTTCACAGCCGGACTGTGGCGTGATGCGGAAGCGGTAGTCTGCTCAGTGGCTGCAGGATGGTGGAGGATCTGTGAGAGGAGGCTGCGACATGTTTACATGAAGTGTGAAGAAGGTTTCAGCGAGCAGACATGAAGACTGTGTTTGTGACCGTCGGCACCACGAGCTTCGATGAGCTGATAGGAAACATCACGTCCACAGAGAGTGTCCAGGTGAGTTCAGCTCCACTCTTCATGGAAACAGCAAACAAACATCAGGTGTGTTCTATTACTTCATGTCGAGTTTGTCCTCTGAACACAGAAGCTGGAAGTTAAAATGTGGATCCAAGTTTTCGTTTAACTCAGTTGAAGAACACGTGTCACTGTTTCACTTATTGTTTGATCAGATTTGTTTACCAACCCTGAATGCACCATCATGATCATTCTGTGTTGTTTTGTTCACATTAATGTGCAGTTACTCTTCCTCACTACACATTTAAGAGACTTGCACTTACACATTTAGTGTTTCTGCTATTTACTGTTTTATTCTACCACATATCCTCTTTAGTCACCTTTTATTGCACAGTTTAAATTATAGAGTTTTATGAAATTGTATTCATCATTATACATTCGGCCAGGATTGTTTTCATCAGGACCCACGAATTTCAATGAAAATTGAAAAATGCCCTGTCCCACAAAGTTTAAGAAAGAGAGAAAGAAAATCCTGGATCTGATCCCTGATCATTAGTTCTTCTTTGGGTCACCTCTCACCCCTCGCCAAAATTTCATGGAAACTGGTTCAGTAGTTTTTGTGTAATCTTGCCATCAACTTACAAACAAAGAAACACAGACAAAACTGCATTGCTTGGTTCCTGCATGGAATTCAATTACAATACACATGAGAAGATTAAGATCAGATTAAGATTAAGAGATTATGAGAAATGAAGGAGCTACCTATTAAAAATCAAATAATTAGGATGAACATGTGGCCATTTTTATAATGAGGAAATTGTCCTCCCCCACAGGCTTTAAAGGCTCGTGGATATGAGTGTTTGGTTCTTCAGGTTGGAAGAGGATCTCTTCTTCCAGCTGCTGACAGCTGTCCTCACATCAGGCTGGAGGCTTTTCGATTCAAAGACTCTATAGCGGAGGACATGAAGCGGGCTGACCTCGTCATCAGCCACGCAGGTGAGAAAAAACACCCTGAGTTACTGACTCCTATGAAAACAATACACTCAGAGCTGAGCCTGTCTGCAATAAATACACATGAGTTTATACTATTAAATGAATCAAAACACTCTTTATAGTATTTGTTATAAAAACATAATGGATTATCACAGTCCTATTGTAGATGCAGATATGTGAGCATCTAACAGAAGAGTGATTGATTGATTATTAGCAGCAGAAAGATATGAAATCAGAAAGAATCAGATGAAGCAGAGAAAAGTTTTTATTCAAGCAGTTAACGACAATACAGTTGTTCTAAATCAATGTTAGTTGTAGGAAACAACTAACAATCTATTCCAACATCAGGGGCAGGAAGTTGTTTGGAGGCGCTCGGTGCAGGAAAACCTCTGCTCGTCGTCGTTAATGACAAACTGATGAACAACCACCAACTGGAGCTGGCCCAGCAGCTACACTTGGACTCCCACCTGTTGTACTGCACATGCAGGTACATGATCCACACAGCCCTGCTTCAGTTTTACGAACATAGGGTTTATTCAGCAACACAAAAGTAAACTTGTTTTCTTCTCGATAAATGTTTCAGCACGCTGACAGAAAAACTGACGACCATGGATCTCTCTGTTCTTCAGCCCCTCTTACCGGGACGGCCGAAAAACTTTGCAAACTTTTTAGACAAAGCTCTGGGTGTTGAGTGAAATTTAACATTTTACAGCCCTGGTTTGTTTGTTTGATTTTCTGAATATCATGTTGTAGTTAATTGTGAAACTGCTGAACTCAAATATCTTTTCTATTTCTGAATGTAATAATAATAATAATAATAACTTCTAATTTAAATCATTTATTATGTTGTGAAGTTGTTCTTTATATTTATTCAAATTTCTGTTTAAAAAAAATTACAAACAGAAAAGAAAAAACATTCACCAGCCTGAAGACTCTTAGTGAAATAATTTGGTTCAGAGATTTAAAGACATCGCTGAACTTTGAGATGGAACAGAGGCAGCATTGGTTGGAAAAACTGTCAACCTTAATCTGAACGCTTTAGGTTTTATCTGTGATTTTCATTCTTATTAGTGCTCAAGGTTAACTGGTAACTTTTTTTAAAGTCATCCTCCAAACAGCTGGTTTAGAAATCTAGAGATGGAAAAAGTATCCTTAATGTCAACCTCTAATTTTAGACAAAACAACTTATGGCATCTGTTTTATGAAGCTGGTTCCAGCTTTAGTCTTGGTGGCATGAGAGTAAAGCAGTGTAGTTGTTACTGTACATGTAGCTGTGTAAAAGTTTATCTGAGGTCGTAGTGAGCTTATTGTAAATAGACTGTATTTATATAGTGTCTTATCAGTCTTATCGACAACTCAAAGTGCTTTACAGTACAAGTCACATTCACCCATTCTAACAGCACTTCTATCCTATCACACACACCATTCATACACTGCTGACACAGCTGTCGGGTTTACTTTAGGGTTCAGTATCTTGCCCAAGGACACTCTGGGGATCAAACCTCTGGTTAGTGGACGCCTCTCTACTCCTTTTGGCCGCAGCCAAGCTTATATTTCTGACAGTCCACTAACAGACAGTGAGTATAAAATATACTTCTCAGCTTTAACTCTTCACCTGAGTCTGTGTGATGGTATTTGTGTTTGCCAGATGGTGATGAGTTCTTAACTCGACAGCTCTCCTCTCACAAGGTCCACACTTACACTTCCTGTAAGTCTGCGATTCTCGAATTCTTTAGTTTATTTCTAATTCTCTAAAATCTCAGTGCTATAGGCCATAACTTTCCTGCATGGCCAAGAGCTCATGCTGGAGTAAACCAAAACTACAAGTCATATACAAGTCATATACAAGTCATACTACATTTCATCATAGATGTCGGTCTGTCTAATTTCCACTATTGTGTCCCTGTGAAGTTCAGAGAATGGGGAAGTAACATAAAAAGGAAAATCGGGCAAAAAGAAACGGAAACTGATACGCACATTAAATCAGATTTTATTCACAATTTACAAAAATATTAAACTGTTCAACTCAAGCACCTGAGAAAGCTGAGGCCGACCACAAAACACAAAATGATACTGTTGATTACAAGAACAGTCACCCTCTCTCTCTCTCTCTCTACCTCACAAGTTTCCCACTCAAACCAGTAGAAGCCCATACCTGCACGCAGCATACCAGCTGTCAAATGGCCGGAGAAGACAGGAAAGAGCCTTTTAAGGCACACAAACAGCCAGGTTGTTGTAAATAGTGCTGCATCACAGTGAAGCAGGTTATACCAATTCTTGCCACCAGGTTGAGATGATGTTTGAATCTATGACCTTGTAGCTTGATTGACATTTGTCCTCACAGCACATGTGGAGTGTGCAAGTCCAGTTTCCATGTGTCACCAGGTCCTGTCGATCTTATCTGAAGTCAAATTTAGCATTTAAAGATTGAATGAATGGATTATAACAGAACTGTAATGTAG